AGCTTCCGAGTCCCATGCAAGCGGCTGCTGCGTCTGCGTTGGCGTTTTCTTTGGGAGCGATTGTGCCTTTATTGGCGGCTGCGTTTGTGAAAGATTACCATTGGAGGATTGGAGCGATTGTGGCGTCTGTGACTTTGGCGTTAGTGATGTTTGGATGGTTAGGAGCGGTTTTGGGGAAAGCACCGGTGGTTAAGTCGTCTGTTAGGGTTTTGATTGGAGGATGGTTAGCTATGGGCGTTACGTTTGGTTTGACGAAAATAATTGGGTCACATGGTTTTTGATAGTTTGAATGTGTTTACACATATTCGTGACCCAACTCTTCTTCATGTTTCATGCAACACAATTTAAGCGGTTGAACAAAAAAATATATTTTATCAAAAAATAAAATTTAAGCGGTTACGTTTTTTTTTATATATAAGAACCTTTGGATTGGAATAGTTTGGTGGTTAAGACTTGTTTTATTTCGTGGGAATTTGATTCGAATGGAATCTCTTTGTGATTTTGCTTATATAAATCTATTTAATGGAGTTTTTGTCAATAATAATGATCTGTTGAGATCGATCCTTTTCACTTCTGGTTTTATAGTTGGAGACGGATCAGTAACCATTTCTACCACATATCTAATATTATGATCCCTTCTTTTACTCCAAATATTTTTAGGAATTTTCGAATAGTCGCAGTTATCCAACTCGTTGCATTTAAAACAGAAGAAAAAAACATATCAAAAACATAAATTCTTAGAAACTTGGATATTTTTTTTCCAATTTGTAAACTGACAAGAATTTGGCCCCCCAAAAAAGAAAAACTGACGAGAACAAAATATGCGAACGCACCTATGATTTTTTTTTTTTTTTAAACAAATAAACATGAATGATTGAAATGCAATTTGAAGAAAATATTAAACCACTGAAAACTTCAGTTTAAATGTATACAAAATATAGACATTATAAATGTTGTGATCGATACAATATATGTATATATAACATACATATTATAGTGGATATAGTTCCGGTCTTTCTAAACCAATTTGTGATTTAATTCAATTGACTGAGATCTAAGAATGAGCAAAAAAAATCTGCCAAAAGCAGCCAATTAATCCGCCAAAATACAGCCGAATTTGTTTAGCCTAATCATGTGTATATTGTTGATGACTTCATTTCGATTTTGAAATACTCTTAAGACTGTAAATACAAATGACATTACACAGAGGACTAGAGTTTGATCGTGATCGACCGTAACAGAAAAAAGCTGGAATCATGACAAATAAGTGATCTCCGAAAAAATAAAATAAAAGAAAACTTCTACTTTTGGAATCGTTGTCGTGTTCTATTGTATTAATTTGTAAAGCTAAATTTCATGCTTGCTTTTTGCAAGAGATTGCGTGTAAACTCAAACATCCTTGTAATAAGGGAAATGGAACAAGTGGCTTTATTTATCAAACATAATATAAAATCAATCATAGATATGGATATTTCATATATAAAAAAAAAACCCAACAATTTTACGATGATAAAAGCAATATAGAGAGACAAGTGAATACATCTTTTTTTCATTTTACCTTCATGAGCAAAAAAAGAGTAACATCACCTATTAGGCAAATAGCAAATTAAATGTCACAACATTGATCAAAACATGACCGGAGACAAGAAAACTCGGCAACATTCAGCTGCAACCAAGAACAATTCCGTCGTGTCACAAAAATTAGACTAAGTGAACACTCATGAGGATTGTCTACGTTGTGGCATCTCAATCAGATGTTTCAGCACAAACTTATCCATGAACTCGGAGCTTTTCATCTTTAGCATAGTGAAATAGTTTATATCTTCTTTCTTCACAAGTCCTTTAGACAAAAGCAAAGAGATGACCTGATTCCTCGGTTTGATTCTCTTCTCCATGCTCAGACCCAACACCACTGGTCTTGCAACAATGTCACGAGCCTGCAGACCAATGTTGTTTACGAGGTAATCCATCGTGTACACTATCTTCTTATCAGAAACAGTCACGCAGTTCGGGAATCTCATGACTGCTGACACGAAGCCTTCTTTAGACCAACCAAAACGTTGAAACAACTTAAATTTCCGCTCCATCGTTGATTCACTCGTGCAACCAAAACCAACCATAGCGTGAACAAAACACGCCTTCTTCGGGTCAAAACCATAGCTACAAACTCTGTTCAAGACCTTGTTGAATCTTTTCTCGGAAGAGAAAAAGGTAAATGGAGACGCTTGAACCAACCACTTGATGCTTTTATCTGGAACTCCAAGCTCTCTACAAACGGAGAGCCTTGAAGATACGCTCTGCGCAATCTTCAATGAGAAACATCTATACCCGCGCTTCAGACACTTGACAACGTTTTCTTCCTCTACGAGTATGCTCTTGATGGAATCATAGCAAGGGATCAGCCTTTTGTTCAAGCTAAAAGAGAGCGTTTTCGGGTTAGACGAGATCAGTTTCGCAGTATCAGAAGTCGAAAACCCGATGGAACCGAAAAACATGAGCTTGGGAGAGATATTGTCCTCCGGGCTGAGTGAAAGAATACGTGGGAAGGATTTGATGACATTAGTGATCTGATCATTGGTAAAGCCATGGTCTTTGAGGAGAGCAAGAACAGAGTCTGGTTTCTTTGAAGAAACCAATTTGACGAATCTGGAATTCGATTTAGCAGATTCCAAAGACAATCCACAAGAATCGACGAGATACGAAACTGTAAAAGATTTCAAACATGGGTTTTGCTCATCGACGACATCAACTGATATCAATTCCGACACTGAACAGAGTGTTCTTCTACTCACCAGAAACCCTAGATTGACGGGCGTGCGACGAACAGGGGAAGAATTAAACACACAATCTCCGACATTTCTCCGGAGAGAAGAAATTAGACAAACCCTTCTGCAGTGTAACAAGCTCGACATGAAACCCTAGTCCCTAAAAGCCCAAACCTCTTCTCCAAAATCTCTAGAAACTCAAACTTGCAATATAACAAACTCGCCGGAAACTTAGCTCAGAGGAGGATAGAGATCAAAATCGTTGTGGTTACCTTCTCTTTTGTGGCCAGAAGAACTTCGCAGATACTCATGAAGATGTTGTTCGAATCAATGGAGGTTCACGAAGGTGAAACCATCGATTCACGCGAAGGTGGAAGAAGACGGGATATTCTCAAAATGAAAATCAGGAATGTAGCCCTTAACTTCTATGGATTTACAGATTGGCCTCAAATAGTATTAAATTACACAATAATCCAAATTACTATTTTCTTTTACGACATGCCCTATATAGTCTGCGTAATTTACAGTCTTGTAGAAAATATAATCCAAAGAATATAGTAGAAACTTGGAGGGTTGGGTTTAATTGATCCCATAAAATATTTAAGCGTATTTAATGAAATGTTGATAAAATCAAGACCGAAAAACAATTAAAATCAGTAGAGCTTACAAGAGAAAAGAAACGCTACTCTGTTTCATCTCTCCACTCTTCTTCTCTCAAGAAAAAGAATCTACTCTATGTATCTTGAACATTTTCTTAAGTTCCACAACAAGATTCCACTCGTCGTTAGATAATTCACCCTGCAAATAAGAGGTTTTGGGTCTCAGTTGGAGCTTAGAAACAAACCAGAGAGAACAAAGAAAGACATGTCAAAACTTACCCGGTAGTTAGTTTTGAGTATGTGATCGCCTAGAAATTTGACTGACTAGCTCGTCGTCTATACCAAAGTGCCTCCCAAACATTTTCTCTTCTCCAGGGTTAGAGGCAATGATCTAAATACGACCATAAAAAACAACATTGTTTTTTTTCTTTTACAAAGGTCAATTGCAGTATTAAATGATAGGAAGAAAGCCATCTCATACCTTAATAGCCACATTCTTCTCGTCTTTCTTTGCATAGTAAACTGGCCTCTTGTTCTTCTGAATAGATGCAACGCGACCAATATCCATAAATACTCTCAAATTCTCAATCTCTTTGACAATGCAGATGGGAGTTCCAACCTAAAACCAACAAGATCATTGTTACATCCGTGTGATTCAAAGTACGCGTGTGTGTACACAGATCCCGATGAGAAAATAGTATATACCTTGAGTATACCATCGGTGACTTCAACTCCGAGGATGATTGGGTCTCTTTTGTTGAAGACACAGTTTGGTAAAATCTTAAGGATACATGGGAAAACTACTTCACAAGCTGTTTCCTTCCTTGTCTGCTCTTTGATATTCTCGATGTAACCCTTAAACTGATCAAACAGATGATAGATGATATCCGCGCAGAAGATTTTTACCCCAACTTTGTCTGCGAGTTCCCAAGCCTCTGCAGTCACATTTACATCAAAAGCCAAAACCGTAGCAAACTCTTTTTTCCTCTCTAGTATCACCGGGCTTCATGATATCTTTCTTATGAACAGGTCCTATGCCGATACCACTGACAGGTATGTTCACATCCGGGGACTTCAAGAACTCAAGCAATGCTTCCAAGGACCCTAATGTAGACGCTTGTACATAAACCCCTTCACCACTTTTGGTAATCCGGTTCATAACTGACTCCATATCTTCCATGGCTATTTTCTTGGCTTCTACCACATCAGGTCCAATAACATGCAGGGAAGTACCAGCAACGGCGTGTTCAAGACCCTTTTATAAACACCAAATGTGAAACATTTTTGTTCAGGATGTGATCCAAATTTCAAAGCATTTGTTCAGTGCATGCTAGTTAATAAGACTATGGTGCTATGTAAGAGATACTCACCTGTGCAGTAATCTTGATACACTGCGCAGCCTTTACTTCTCTATGATGCAGATATGTACCCTGAAACATAAGACCAGAAATTTCTCATTATGTACGGGAAAGGAGTTTCATTAGCAGAAACCATGTTTCCCTAGGAATAACAGTGACAAAAGGCAATGGATTATCGTAAGTACCTTCACCTGTAGCTCCTTCATAGGATGAGGAGTCAACAAGGATCTAATTGTTGATACAATAGGTCCCTGAAATAGGAGAAAAGGAGACAAAACAATTAACATCAATTTCCCAGCTTTACGAAATACTTGGCAGATGATATGTTAGGTATCAATCCCCTTGAGGTTTCTACTTGCCTGTGACCCACAAACAACGATTTGATCACCTTCATGGAGTACACCGTTGACCAAAACAACATCAATTGTCGTACATTGGCCTTCAATAACTTTGACCTCAAGGACGGTACACTGTTCAACCGTTTCAAGAAAATATAAGAATGTTGTATTGCAGAAATGACGCGTTCCCAAAAGAGGAATAAGAAATACTAATACTTGCACTTTGTCACGATATGTGAGTTTCTCTACCATTGTTTTCTGAGCCCATTGAACCAACAACAACAAAAGATCTGGAATCCCTTCCCCACTGAAATGTCAATATCAAAAATTAATCCATTAGTTATCGTGGTTGACCTCTATGTTAGAATAGAAAATGAAGATAACAAGCAGATTTCAGTGTTTAGTCCTTGTTCTTTGAACTGGGTTATAACCTGGAACACCAATGAAACAATATAGTTTTGTAACATATGTACACATCCCATCCACTTTAAATCCTTACATTAAAACCTCTAGACGTGTAACTTACCCTAGTGAGCCTCATGTTAAATTCATTAACCACATCTCTCGATTGCTGCTTTATTGCCTTAATTATAGGTGCATTCTTGCTTGTTTTCCAGCCATATAGCCTATCAACCTGCAAGTTGGAGGTTTTAAATTTCCACACATCAAAATTACTACAAAAAAAACCAACAAACCACATCCCAGAATGACAAGGAGTCTCACCTTATTCAAGGCAACAATGAACTCTGTATTCCTCCTTCTCAACAGATTTAGAGACTCTATGGTTTGTGGCTCTAGACCATGCATTATGTCAACCACTAGAATTGCAAGGTCACACAAATTTGAACCCCTTGACCGCAGATTTGTGAATGACTCGTTCCCAGGTGTATCAATAACCAATAGACCTGGCACCTTAAGTTTTGCATCAGCTTTTAACTCCTTGGTCCTCTCACGGATGTTTTCTGCAGGGAAGTATGTTGCACCAATCTGTTGAGTAATACCTCCAGCTTCGCCTTCCTGAACATTCGTTCCTCTGATGCAATCTAACAGCTTTGTTTTACCAGTATCAACATGACCCATGATGCAGCAAATGGGAGACCGGAGATTTTCTTCCCTTTCGTTAGCAACTTCATTAAGCATTGAGCCTTTACCACTTTTAGAAGCATCTCTTGGCCGGGTAGCATCATCCACCTTAGGCATAACTTTTTTGGCAGCTGCTCTTGGCTTGCCTGCAACTCCAGCCTTCACTGTTGGTCTATCAGCCAGAGAACCAACGGAATCTGCGGTCTGAATAATGTGTTTCTCCTGACCTGAATAATGTGCCTTTGATTCAGTATCTTTTAAATCTTTGTTAATCAGAGGCTGAGGTTCTTCCTCCTCATCATCAAAATCAGTACCCTTGATGTGAAGATCAACAGAATCCAAGCTTTTTGCATCCCACTCATCCTTTTCATCACCATTCTCCTGTGTTACATCAGCAGCTCTTTGTTTATCTTCCGTGTCTGCTAATTCTATTCTATCAATCCGTTCATCATCAGCTAAATCCATTTTAGGTAAAGTACCTAATTCATCACCATGATTCTCCTTTGTTTCTACAGGAGAATCTTTTGCTTTTCCGTGAGCTAGTTTTCTTTTGTTGCCATAAATGGGACGCTTTGAGGAAGCACCGTTATTATTTGCAACAAGAAGACTTTCAGCATCAGTCAAACACTTGTTCTTGAAAGCCTCCGTCTTACGAGCTTCAATCTTTTGCTTTGCTGTAATAGGCTCAC